CCTACATTTTAAGTGTTTTCCTGCTCCTTACAGGTACAACTTTTAGCACAAGAATCATCTTCTGGGTCACCTCCCCTTTATATATCTCTACAGTTCTTAATCCAGATCTCAAAATCCATCTCAGTCTAGTCTACTACTATTTCCAAACAGTTTCTTTTCCCCCCCCCGTTCAAAACAAATGCAAACAAATGCTGTTAAAGCATTCAGTGTTTCAATGTCTCCTATTTCATAGGTTGTCTATGCTTAACAAATAAAAAAATATTATGGGACAAAGAGCGAATGATAATCACCTTACATACAGAATAGAAAGACTTCCATCCGATCAACTAGAAATAGGGTATAATCAACAAGTTAGTGCAATACACACATGAAGATAATTCCACCTGTAGCAAATGTCTACAACTTCAATTGCTGCCTTTGAGAACTAGGCAGAAAAGCTGTGATTTCATCACATTACTGACAGTATATCCAACAAACTATTCTTAGAAAATAATTCTTTTTAAAATGCCACCTGTGAAGAGAAGCCATACAAAAAATAAACAAGTTATCTGAATGGCTTTCAAATTGTACGTGTGCTCACTGTAACTTTTCTAGAGATTTCTATGACACTATTATTACATTAGTAAGCACCTTTGCCAATTTCTCAGGGATAAGTTCTTCTTTCGGTCCTCCGATTTCTTCATCATCATCATCTTTCTTCTTTTTCTGATTCCTCTGTTGCTTCTCTTTCTCAGCATTCTTCTTCTCCTCCTCCAGCTGTGCTTTCTTTTGCGCTCTTCTCTGCTTATTTCGTAGCTTCTTTAGCTCCTTGTCAGACATATTCGCTGCACACACGCAAAGGGCAAAACCAGACAATGTTGATGTCTAATATTAAACAGTCTCAACCAGTTGTCAGATACCGTCATCTTTTTTAAACAATATCTACTAACTAGTAATGCTGCCGTTACATTTGTAAAAGCCTATTTACTATTGATAGATTATTTTACAGTCTATGCTGCTGCTTCATAATTCATGAATTCCTTTGTGAAATCAGGGCAACAGGAATTAGAACAATAGTATAACGTGCTGAAGGCGGGACAAAGTAATTACTGCATGACTCCACAAATCCAGTGCCAGGAGTGAAAGTGCACACCGATACACATTGATGTGTTCCTTAGGCATTACAAAGCTCAAGTTATGTTTAATGTAGTAATTAAACAGTTTAACAAAAATAAGGTGAAACAGTCGCACTTTGGCACAGACAGTTCCAGCTTTGCTTTTAACGCCCTACAAACATCTTACATTTGATTCATGTTCAGATCCTCTCCTCCCTCCAATTAAAGCATGGAGAATTAATTTAAAACACGCCAGAAAGTGGCTACAAGAAATTCTATTACACTTCTACTTGTCTTAATTGGAAGCTGAAGCCACACAAATCAACGGAGATGAGAAATATTACAACTTGACAAATTGCCCTTGAAGGATTCAATAGCCTCTATTCATACCATTTGAGGTGCCCCAAGCCATAATCACTTAAGTTGCTCTCCAATCAGAGATGAGAGGAAAAAAAAAAAAAAAAAGAAATTGATGGATTTAAACATTATTTTTACATCAGAAGCAAGAGACGATAAAATTTAAGTTGCTATCTAGTCAAATTTTTGCATACTGATAAAATGCTTCGAAAGAAGCACACCTGCTTTAATCTGTTATTTCATGGACCAACAACCATGTGAATTCCACGTTTTCTCAGCCATTTCATAACACAAACATGTTTTTACTTAAGAATTACAACTGTCACTACAAAAACCATCATTGTTTTATAACAAAGAAAATAAAAACATGCATTAGTTTAACTTTCAGTATAACATCCACTTTTACACGCAGGCCAAGTTACGATTTGCCTACTCTGAGTTGTGACAAAACTCTTATTTTTGGCTGCTACAGTTGACAACCATAAGAATGCTGAATCTTCATGAAATATCCACTAACTAGTGAAACTACATATTTAATAAATCCTGAGGGTTGAATACCTGTATCAGCCTCGTGTTCTTTATTTTCATCTGTTAAGGGATTATCATGAAGTTTCAAATATATCTCTATGGCAATTCGTGCTGCTTTGAAGTAGAACGGATGTTGTCGAAGTACATCTTCTAGTTTTAACAAGTCCACATAAGACCTAAGGGTAATCTTCCTCATACAGTAAGTGTGAAAGTCAAACTGGTCATCCGTGATTTCTACAAAATGCTAACACAACATAACATAACACTATTTAGCAAGTATTAACAATCGGATACTGACTTTGACTTTTTTAATACACTCTCCCCAAAGGAATAATTTAGTAAAAGCCTGCTGTTTGACAAATACACCCTAACTTTTAGAAATGTGAGTTAACAAAACCCTCCAAAAATAAAGTCATTGTGAAAAGAACAGAAGGCATCTTAGGTCAGAACCAAAATTCACCCATTTCACAATCTCTTAACAGTAACTACCCTCTGACAATTTGCAGTTTAAGGGACAAAGGTTCTACATTCATTGTATTTAAACAGCACTTGAAGAATTTTTCTTCTATGAACTCCTCTTTTTCAGTCAAAAGTGTAATTTTGACTTCCATTAAACACTGTGGCAATGAATTCCACGCTTAAATCACATGTGGTGTGAGAAAGTACTTCCTTTTGTTCAAGATCTGCTTTCCTTATTGTCACCTGATGTCCCCTTGTTTTTGTTTGAGAAGCAGTGAAAAGTCATTCCCCTCTTCAACTTCTCCATGTACTTATCTCATAAAACTTCATCCTAAATTCAGTTGTTGCTTGTCAAAGCTGAGGATAAAATAGTAAGCATGACAAGCTAATTGCAATCTCTTCATGTCGAAGTTACTCCATGACACGTATCTTACTAGCACATTTTTAAGGAGGTGTGATATTCAAATGTAAACAGTACGACAGATTTATATAATGGAAGAAAAGTACTACTTCTCTCATCACTTAATTCCCAACACTGTCCTTCTGACTGCTGCTCCACAGCAACACAGAAGTTCTTGCAGCAGTGTCTCTAACGGTTCCGGGATTTCTTTTCTGAGCAGCAATAACTCATGTAAGACCTTTTACTAGTTATGCATAGGCAAAGAATTCTTCTTGTCCCTCCTTCACCAACTACACGGTTGAACATTACGTTTCATGTGTCGTTTTATCATTTAGTACTGAGACAGTGCAAGTGTTGTCCTTGCACTATTCACTCCCTTTCTGTCATCATTTATTGATATATCAAACAACAGAAACCCTAGAGAGCTGCCTTAGGAATCTCCACGATAAACTCCTTTTCTTTTAAAAGCTGATTATTTGCTCCTACTCTGTCTTTATATTTCTAATAGCTTCTTTTAAACTGTAGCTTAATTTTTTTTTTTTTTTAAAGGAGAAGATAGTAAATCTTTTTGATCGTTTTTTTACATTTATTCTCTCCCTCTAAAATACAGTGGCTTAACAATAACCAAGGTGACACCTTTCCTTTACTTTAAGGCTGGGCTTGTCAGCTCAGTCATGTTCTTTTTGGACTTAAAAGTACGCATACTCTTGGTTTGTACCTGAATACCTATTTTTATGTACCCTGCCAAAAATAAGATTATTTCTGAGAGTTTTCTGTTCTTTCCTGGATGTTCAAATGAGTTTATAGAATCTATTTACAATACACAGTTTACAATGGCATTTTTAGGAGAAAATGTAATTTAATCAACTCGCCAGTAGCCAACATGAAACAAAATCTCTCCTGAAGCTACATGAAGCATACTCTTACTGCTCAGAAAGGAAACATATTAGCACAGTAAACTTAAGCTAGTGTTTTCCAACCTAGGCAGTTTAACTAGATACATACTCTCTCAATTTCGTGGCATTTCTTAAGTGCTTCTCCGAATTTGTTCATTGCTTTATAAGCTTGCGCACATTCTGTCTGAAACCACATGCACTGCATTTCATTCAAGTTCTCTACTGCCGAGGTTCCTTCCTAAAAGCAAAAACAGCATTATAAAAAAAAAAAAAGATAAGTCTCATTCAATTTGTTAACTACCGTTTCTTTTACCTTGTTCTAATTAAAAGCACAAACCAAGAGGCTATCAAAAGGATACTAAATTTCAAAACTGGAGTCCTGAAAGTCAGAAATGCCACAGTTAAGATGGACTTGCTTTGTTCATTAATTAAAAAAAAAAAAAAAAATTCCTCT